CTCATTTTCAAGGATGAAGCTGCAAAGACGGCGTTCGAAGTTCTCAAGAAGGCGTTGGTGACGGCTCCAATTTTGGCGAAACCGGATTGGGGTAAACCTTTCATTCTCTACACAGATGCATCAAATATTGCTGTAGGATGCACCTTGAGTCAATTAGATGATGAAAAGCATGATCATCCAATTGCCTATGCTAGTAGACAAATGGTTCAAGCGGAGAAGAACTACTCAGTGACAGAGAGAGAGGCGTTAGCTGTAATCTTCTCACTTAAGAAGTTTCGACATTATTTGTTGGGTGGGAGATTCACTATAGTGACTGATCATAAGGCTTTGAAATACATTTTCAACAAGCCTAATGCTGAAGGGAGGATAGCTAGATGGAAGCTACTACTAGCAGAGTTTGATTATACCATTGAGGATAGACCTGGAAAGAAGCATGCTAATGCGGATTTGATGTCGAGAGCATATGATGATGGAGGAGATCAGTCAGTAGATGACACCTTTCCGGATGAGGACTTGCTAGTCATGGACACGGTGACAACAGTACCGGAGGAGTACAAGGAAATTTGGGATTTCATCTCTAAAGGAGAGTTTTCTCAAGGAATGCATCAAAGGGAGAAAAATGCATTAGTGAAGAGATGTCAACCATATATGATCATGGAGAAGGTACTTTTTCATCAAGGAGCTGACGGACTTCTACGAAGGGCGGTTGGGAGAGGAGAGGCATTACAACTCATGAAGGAGTTTCATGATGGTGCAGTATGTGGAGGACATTTTGCGGGGAAGGTAACTGCCTTCAAAATTCTTGATGCTGGTTATCATTGGAAGGGTATTTTTAAGGATTGTGTGGAATATTGCAAAAGTTGTGATGTGTGTCAAGCTTTTGCTAAAAAGTCCATGAAAACCCCTCCTATGATTTCTGTACCAGTGTTAGGTCCTTTTGAAAAGTGGGGAATAGATTTTGTAGGTCCTTTGAATCTTACTCCTCGAGGGAATAAGTTCATTGTGATAGCTACAGATTATCTTACGAAGTGGGTAGAGGCAAGACCACTTAAATCTACTAATGAGAAGGAGGTTGGTAGATTTTTATATGAGAGAATCATTACTCGATTTGGTTGTCCATTGGAGTTAGTATCAGATAGAGGAGGAGAATTTGTGGGAAGTATGATTCAAGCCATGTTGGAGCACTTTTCCATCAAGGCTCGAGTGACCACTTCCTACAAACCTAACGCTAATGGGTTGGCGGAGCGGACCAACTACACTTTGTGTATGATGTTGGCCAAGGATGCAGACATGGACGGGAGTAAACACAATTGGGACAAGAGGCTCCATGCTATCTTATGGGAGTATCGCACAACATGGAAGACATCTACTGGATACTCACCTTTTCGGATGGTGTATGGAGTTGAGTCAAAACTTCCCATACAGTTTGACTTGACAACATTCACAACAATCCAGCAAAGGTTGAAGAAATCAAATGGAGCAGAAGCCATCAAGTCTCGCCAACAACAATTGATGGAGTTGGAGGAAGCTCGAGCACTAGCCATGGTACGAGTGGAGCGGGCTCAACAGTTGCAGAAGAAGTATCACGACAAACGAAGTGGAAACCAGAACTTGAAACCGTTCAAGGAAGGTGATTGGGTGATGCTCTTTGATGCAATTAGATACAAGAGAGCTAGGAAAAAGTTTCTTCCTAAGTATTTTGGACCTTTCATAGTTGAGAAGGTGTGGGGAAATTTCACTTATGACATCAAGGAGTTAGGAGGACGTCACTTCGATCGAGTCAACCACGACAAGTTGAAGTTATTCCATCGAAGATCAGATTCTTTCACTCCGAGGGCGTAGTGAAATCTTGGTCCGGGGGTAAATGTAAGACCGGGTGTTGCACATATGTACTAAGTCTTAGAAGTGGTCAAGGGAATAAGGATGATTAGCCAAGGCATAGCTAAGACTAGCTAGTTATGACTAAACTAGTTAGTTATAACTAAGTTTATCTAGTCATGGCTAAGTTTAGCTACAATGTCTATAGTTGGCGGAGTAATTAGCGGAGTTCTAGAAGAATGGAGTGAGCACTTCTATTTTGTCTTTTACAAGGAGTGAGCACTTCTATTTTGTCTTATACAAAAGTTCTAGATTCCAAGGGATTAGATATTTGACTAGAAGCTTGGATTTGATTGGTTTGACTAAATGTATGAAAGATGATTGGCTAGACTAAGTCTAATGTTGACTTAGTGGCTAGGAAGCTTGTAGAAGTTTAAAAGCTTCAAATGGCATGTCGCCACCTCAACCTTGGATTCCGGAAGCTTCTAGAAGGTTTAGGTAGGCCAATGGCATGTTGCCACATAGGGGAGGATAGTCAAACTTACCTAGGTAAAAGTAAGTTAGGAGAAATTACCACATGTTACTATGGTAACTTCTCAAGTAGTATAAATAGAGAGGTAGAGTAGCACCTCTCAAGCAAGTTTGGAGAGTCATGTGTGAGGACTTGTTTCAGTAATGAAGGAGTGAAGTTTTTGAGTATCTTGGAGTATCGACGTGTGTTTGCATTTATGTGAAGAGGGTGATGTGAGGAGAGTTGTGTGTGAGTTGGAGTGATACATGAGAGTTTGTAAGAGAAGGTGTTTGGGACATGAGTGAGAGTATGAATCTTAGTCTTCTAGAACCATGATGCGCTACCACAAAGCCATCAGAGGTAAACCTGAGTGAGAGTCAGCCCGGAGGTTGCAGATCAAAAGTTGAAATGTCTGTGTCAACTTCTGAAAAGCTACCACTCTCTTCACTCTCAGATTCCCAATACTCGTCAGTTCGTCTATCTAAGTCAATGGTGGATTCCCCTTCTCTCGTCAAAGGAACCTTAACTCGATGGTTCTTTGGGCCTATCCTCAAATAGCCCTTTTGCCATCGGTCCGTAGTCCTCACCTCAAGCTTTTAATAATATGGCTGTTATTTGTCATTATCGAGGAGAACAAGCGATTCAACAAGGAGATCCAGAAGCTTCAGAAACCTGGCGCCTCAACCAAGGACGTCCCAACAGCAAGTCGTAGCTAGTTTCCTTGAGAACTTGGAAAGAAATCAAAGTTTGCACTCCTTTCACACTAACCACAACTTTGTCTACCACACCCAATGGTCTTATCTTCTGTTTGTTGGCCATACCAACAATTATACTAGAAGGTCTAGAATGTTGCATTCCCAACTTCTGCATCAACCCTTCAGACATGGCATTCACAGCCGATACACCATCAATCAACACATCTGATACATCATGTCCATTGATCCTCACTTTGATCTTTGAAGCATGTGTACATACCTTCAAAGCAACCGCATCCACCACACCAACTCCCACATTGGTTTTGTGAGCCTTCCCCTTGGATTTCCGCTTCTTGGTCCTTGTGGAGCTAAGACCTCCTCTTAATTCCTTCTGAATGGCTGGATTCAAGGCAATAAGTTGACCAACTGTTATATTGGCCTTCTGATTTCCTACATCCTCCATCACGTCATACTTAGCTTGAGAAGATGAAATGGAAAAGTCATCCATGCCCAACTTCTTCCTTGGTACTCTTGGTTGATTCACTCCACTTGACTGTGTACTTCGGCTTCGCGTGTCCTCCATGAAAATCGACTCGTCCGCAAATCGGGCACGTTTCTTCTCATGAGCAAGGATATCCACCTTCGACTTCGAGCTCTCCACTCTCTCAAAAGTGCATTCATGAGGGAATACATCAATGGATGCTACTCCCTTATCCTTGGCTTGTTGCGTGGCCGGTGCATTGTTGTTATGCCGAACTTCATCATGTTGTCGAGGGTTAGGACAATTTCCCTGAAAATGAAGACCTCCACAAGAAAAGCAAGAAACCGCAAAGGTTACTAAATATGGATTTCCTCTTGGAGTATAATTTCCATACCCCTTAGAGCCTCCTCCTACATTCTGATTCCTCTTCTCCCACAACTGTACTACATTGATCTTGAGGTCTGCTAGAGTCTCCACCTGATCTCCAACTCATTTTGAATCCAAAAATCCACACTAGAATTCGCTATCGTGAATGACGTAGTAGGTTTTGAATTTCTTCTATTGGAAATTTATATGGGGCTTCCTAATACAACACAAACAACACTAACTTCAATCTTAAGTAATTCATCAAAGTAAACACAAAAGTAATTGGTTGTTTCAAGATAGTCAAAGTTCTCTCCTCTCTTATGCATACTATGAGTCTTGCCCTCATCATCATCTTCTCCATCATTCAAATGATGATCTCCATCTTCAGTTGGAACTTGAACCCGCTGAGGTCACTTTCTCTATTTTAGCACTTAACTTGCCGTCAAACCCTTCCACAAGTGATTCCAGAAGTGCCTTCACTTCGCTGCATCCGTGTTCCGCTGGTAGCCCAATCTTTCAACAATTGTCACAGAAGGTCACGCTTTAAGATTCATGTGGCGATGATGGTCCCAAGTGAAGTTTCAAATCTCCCAAGTTCCTCTTGCTACTCAATCTTCTATTTTTGTTCCGCAAGGAACAATTGACAACCTTATGGCTACCTCTCCACAATAAAAACAAGTTTCAAGTTTGACTTTGGAGATTAACTCAATACTCTTTCTTCAAACTCCACCTTGAATTCTCTTGTATTGGAGTCTAAAGACACTATAACATCTAAGCCTTGACGTACTTTGGATAACCTAACCTTCCAACCACCTTGTTCACTCATTTTCCCATAGGGTAGAAACCACTGAAAAGACCTCTCCTAGAAACGCCATCTACTAGATGAAAATTGCGAATAAAGAAATCAAAAACTTTTGCCCTCTTATCTTGCTTTTGTACCCTCTAAACTTCAAATTAACATAACTTTGCTTCTAAACGTGATCTTTCAATGAAATTTTGACCCTCACGTATGTTATCTTTCCATACACACTTGTACAAAGTTTCAAAGGCTAACTTGAAATACAGAAAGTTATATCTGAAATATACTGAAATATACAAATCCAAGCTTTAAGTAAAATATCTAATCCCTTGGAATCTAGAACTTTTGTATAAGACAAAATAGAAGTGCTCACTCCACTCTTCTAGAACTTCGCTACTTAATCCGCCAACTATAGACATTGTAGCCAAACTTAGTCATGACTAGATAAATTTAGTTATAACTAACTAGTTTAGTCATAACTAGCTAGACTTAGCTATGCCTTGGCTAATCGTACTTAATCACTTGACCACTTCTAGGACTTAGTACATATGTGCAAAACCCAGTCTTACAGTTCAGTATGTAACTACGTATATTCTGACCACGTTTAGCCCCAATCACGTTGTGCCCTCAATCGCACTACGAATCGCGCTGCCCTAATTCAACCGTGGGGGTTTTCACATGCCGACTGCGGGTTTGTTCTCCTCCACTCGTGCGGCCGCTCCGTTGCAAACTACTCGCGCGGGGGTTGATCTTTCCCTTCGCCTTAGGAACTCTTTCTCAAGGAGACGGACAATGACATTAATTGAAGAAATGTCGTCTTTCTTTTTGTCCTTCCGAACTCTTTCTCGAGGAGACGGACAATGGCATCAACTGCTCTTACATCCAATTTTGGAGTTGCGAATCGTTGTCATTAACAATTGGAAGTTCCTACAGTGCGACATTCCTCCGCTCTGCTCGCACGACCTTTTTGGTTGCAGAAATGAACAGTTGGCGAGAAGCGGAATTTCACAATACATCCCAAGTGGGGCCTGCGCAGCCCCTGCCTACAGCAGTAGCGGAAAGAGATTGGAATAGAGAGAGAATCTATGTCGTCTTCACCAGTGACAAGTGAACCTTCAAATTTAACTCTTAGACTCAAGTGTCAAAGAATACTTCAGCAACAAAGAACCCGGCAGCAAAAGAAAAAAAGCTCTGTCTGAAATGAAAACCCTACACTTTGTAGAAACTTGTCAAATACTTTCATATATCAGCAAACTGTCACAAAAAGATGTCACATGTTAGAAAGCCGTCACAAAAACACTCTTACACAGACACCGAACCGGAACTTGCTCTGATACCAATTTTTACGGTAAACCTGAGATTGAGTAAACCAACAAAACGATAAACACAAAAGACACAAATATAACGTGATTCACCCTGAGGGGCTACGTCCACATAAGAATACACTCGAGAAAGTTTATTGCTTGAAGTGAGAAATTTCTTACCATCCTTATGATATATATATATATATACCCACGATAGATGATCACTCTATACTATAAATAATTACATGTACAATTAACCTCAATTAACTTCTTAACCGCAGTTAACCTCAACAACGATGTGGTGTGACAACACAACAATTAAAAAATTATTGAAATAAATATCATTATTTATAAATTGATACGCAAAATTTAGATCAAATAATAAATGTGAATTTTAGATTGAATTTTATTCAAGTTTAATTATGATGACTTTTTGATAGTTCATCTTAGCTCTGAAAGGTTGGAATTTATTTAAATGCAAGTGTATTTACACAAGTGCATGTAAATTATAAAATTGCATAAACATATTTTTATAAAATCTACTCATTCAACACAAAGTCTCATTATTGGTATGCTCAATGATGTTTACACTTTGCATTTCATTTAAATGAAGATAGCATTATGAATTTTGATAATGTATGTTTAATATTATATATTTTTAAATTTTTATTCAAAATTGGACGTTTGTTGAATATAGAATCAATTAAATCAAATTAAATATATGGAAATCCAAATATTGATTATATTGTGTCCACATTATTAAATATTAGATACATATTTGATATGAAAAATATATATTAATTTTTAAAAAACATATAATCATTAAAGAAAAATAATTGATTGTATATCTTCAATAGTATCTTATTATTAGTGATTTTATATCAAAGTAAAATATTAATAATAATTTCTCTTGATTCAAGAGAGTACACTTATTTTATTAATTTTATTAATACTCTTCCATTTACTTCTCTATTCGATTACTAAATTTTTGTCAAGTATTCTTGCTCTCTATCTCGGCCGACCATTCACTAGGAGATTCTGGCTAGCATCAACTATTGGCTGGATTCAATCCCAGATTCATTGTGAATCCAATGATCAGTAGCACACGCATGGTATGGAGGATAGCTAACCATGATACAATCCATACGCATGCCGTGTTTGTCATGTCATGAGAAGAAATTTGTGTCGAGATGAAGGAAAGTTGATATACCTGTACTTTGAGCGGGAGTACCGTGTCAAATTTGAGAAATGATTTCTCTCGATGAAGTATTATGATAAGAAAGAACGACTGCTCGCCTCACTACCTGCGATCGATGGTTGGTCTGCACATCTCCAGATCAGCTTTCTTCTAGTCAGTCACATCTAATCGTGAGAATTTCAGCCTTAATCACGTCGCTACAAAGTTCTAGAGCTCTTTTCCAGAAACCAAAGTCCTGTGAGTAATCGTCTTCCATTCCTTCGACGAGGGGATACGTGACCATCATAAAAGATGCCGGAGCTGAAATTCAAATGGCCCGGGATCAAGTCATCTCGCGCATCGCAAGTCTGCTGTCATCTGCACCACCTCGCGTGAGAAGAGTCATCGAGTGCTCCAGCGATCGAGTTTCAGAAACGAGTGAAGCCAGTTAGTTCTCTGGGCTGTTCACCATCACTTTTCGCCCGCTAGACGTGTGGCAACTTGCTCGATTCATCAGTGCGGCCGAAGGAATGAGCTGGCAGGTGATCTGCAATTGTGCAGCCCAGTGCTTTTTCTCAGCAGTGGGCCAGACGAGCCATCTCTCTGCAGAAAGGGCGAACGATGGATGGAGAGTGGACCCCACTTCCTGAATGGTTGGTCATGAATGGTTCCTCAATGGGCGGGCGAAGCTAGACCAGCGTTTCCACACCGTATCCGTTCGCTTCCCTGCAGCCATCGACACCATGTCTTCTCTGAGAGACTGCTGAACCGTAACGCTGCATACTTTAGTCTACACAGATCTGGGGCCTCTGGAGTACTGAGCGATGTGGAGGATAAAGCAATTTTCTTTGAAGGGTGCACATCTCCTTCCGTCAGCCATGTTCAGGTCGAAGCTTATCGGGGATGGTCTGAAGCTCACGGAGGTCTTGTGTCATGTCGGCAGATGCGAACGCTTCAGCAACGCCAGAATTGTTCTGATCGAGTCGGTGAATCGAGAAGCCTGAGATCTGCCGATATTTGTCAGTTTCATCTGGACGCAGGAAGGAAGATAGAAATCCCGGAGAAATATTTGTCGCGTGAACATTTTGCAGCTGCTCAAAAGTTGTCACCGTTGACCTATTTCGTCGCCCTCGAGTGTGCCAGACTCGTTTGGTGGATGGAGGGCTCATGGAAGACATTGTAAAGGAAAGGAGTGCCTCACTTCGCTTCCCCGACAGTGTAGTGACATCTGCTTTATGCAGTTATGGAGTTATGTATGGCGTTTGCATAGCTATCGGTTGACAGTTGAGAGGGATTCAAACTATGTCTGTTTCATCTCAATTGAAACATGATAGCTCTGAAGACGCCACCCAGAATTCCTCAACCGCATAAAGCGTCGGAAATCCGAACAAGTTCAAGGCTCAGGCTCATCGTAAGTGCCGTCGTTCAAGACAACAAGGACGAACGACGAAATCGAACCAATTTCCTCGATCGCTTATATAACGCATACCTTCGAAAGCTTCCGAATTTGTAATTACTGAAACCTGTGGTTGATTCTTCCCCACTGGATGTAGATTAGTCTCCAGGTCGAGATGACAGAAGGGTCAGTCGAGTTATTCTTAAACTCTTGACAGTGAGAGCTTCGTTTAACGTCGTTGCGGGCGTTTATGTGTCTGTTGTTCAATCTAGCGCGTAGAATCTGCTTGCAGTCCTGGTGATTAAGAAGTGTGGAGTCTTGTCACAGATTTGGGCGAGCCGAAATATGTTACGGTAATAGAGTGATGAACCGCCCGTTGACTGCATGTCAAAGATTTACAGTCAAAGAAAGAGTTCAACTTCGTATGGAAATCATGACAGTATGGCGGAGCCTCGAAGTCACGATAACTATCAACTCTCGTAGACAACGCACTCGGATTGAATATATATAGTGACCCTACTACCAGCCATCGAGACTAACAGGACGGGATTCATCGCAAAATTCTGCGTATTCTGGATGTTGTGGATTTCAGATGCAAGGCTCAATGACTGCGAGACAATCTCCTGTGTGCATATTGTCCAGTCTGTGACGATAGAAAACTGGACATCGAAGCACTTGCTCTGGCTTGCGTCCCTTGCTCTTGCTGTCACTTGTCCTTGAACTTTGTATGCAACTGAGCCTTTGAAAACACTGCTCATTGCTCGGAATGTCCGCAGTTGCACATCAGCGATGCATCGGGGGAACATCAAATGCTCGATGCTTATGCTCGGGATGTCCAAGGATGCGAAGGAGTTTCAGTCTCAAGATTATTCCTCTCATGTCCCAAAGACAGCCTCACAGGTACTTGTTTCTGACAACAACTGAGCAGTTTGAGCCATCCTCTGTCCGTGTATCAGAACATGCAACGCGGACACATTCTCTATAGCCTTCCATAACTCTTGCTTCGAGTCTTCTGGAATCACCAGTATAAACAGTCCTGTGCCGACCGATGAAGATCACAGGTCAAAGCTGTCAGTATGGCCTGGGTTTGAACATGATCGGACGACTTCCAGAAAAAATGCAGTGTGGGAGCAGTGTGGGATCAGTGGGATGATACGCTGTGAAGTGAGCAAAATACAACGTCGTTGAGCCGGAGCTTCTGCAGTAAATCTAGGTCTAGATTACGAAACGTCTTCTCACTGTCGAGAGACGGAGGAATGAGTTACCCCCAAACCTCGGTTTAGCCCATATCTTGGGGTATTAGTCTCTGGAAGATGACATTATGAGGGTGAGGCAATTGCTCCTGAACATTCCACGTCGTTTTGTGAAACAAGTGAAGCCCTACTAGGAGTCCTCTCGTACTCCTTCCCGACTGAGTGCGAGAAATGGCCATTGCGTTACAGGAATCTGAGAACTGAAATTTCCTGGAAATCCTAGAAGACTCGGGGATTAGAGCTTTGAAAGAAGTTGAACACTTCACAATCCCATTCTTGGCTGGTTCGTTCTCTCGAGAGTGTCTTGGTTGTGTTCAGCTGACAGTTGACGTGCCTATGTGCAGTCGATTTACGAAACAAACAACCCAACCATCAACAGAACACAACTCAGACACTCTCGAAAGTAGACAATCTACGGCGCGGACAATTCTTCGATCTCAGATGGGCTCCTCAATCGACATTGACTTCCAAATGCTCACCCAAGACAGATCGACAGCGTCCGCATCTGATTGGGGCTCCCAGCCCGCGCCTGCCACACCATGCCATTGACCTAATTTTGAAGTAGAAATGGAAGTGTTTCATGGATCATACGTCACTAGTTTTGTCCTTTGCAGGAATAGTTTTGGCCTGTGGCAGCCGCGAAATTTGTGCAGCCTGGAACTTCCCTCATGCCGAAGAACGTGTGGTTACAGTTAGAAGGGTTCTCTGTGCAAGGGATAGCCCCTGCACAGAGAAACTTTTCCTGAAAGATCTAACTCTGTGGTATACCCTCCGAGCCATCTTCCTACAATTTTTTCGAGGTAGGGTGATCTGTGATCTCAAAGTCCTTTGGTATGCCAATGACAGTTGTAATCGTGGTGAAGGTCTGCAGTCGATTCAAGGTGCCATCACTTGCCGAATGTTTCAGACATCTGTATTGGTTTTCAAGTTCAAACCCGATTTTACCATTTACCATTTACATTGATATGGCATCGACGGTATAAGGGTCAGGTGTGCTTGTCATATGCTAGACTCGAGGGCATGGTATGAAAAACCAATAGTCATAGGAATGAATGATGTGAACGTGGTGCAGTGCAGAACTCAGACCTCTTACACGAACGTCAGTCACGTTGTACGTATAATTCGTCTGTGGATAATGGGATCAACTCGTGTACTCTATTCAGCACTCTGTCTCTGCCTCGCTCGTGTCCTCTGTCTGGCTTCTACATCAAGGCGGTAGATTCTCTGGTTGCACAAGTCTCTGAGACGAAAATACTCGAAGCGCAAAGCGTTCGGAAGGGAAATGTCGTTGAGAATACAATTCTTTAGCTTTGCAGGTTCTCAACGGGAATCTGCCCTCCGAGACACGTTTGACTATATTGTCGTCTACAACCAGAACCTAGCACTTGAAGAACGTCGCTTCAAGATATGGAGAATATATCCTTCACCAGTGGCGGCGGCCCATTCCATTTACGCGAAGAACGGGGAACTTATCGTTCCAATTTACTCTCTGCTGGCAAGCTTACAGGCTTCTGTCTTAGTTACCACACGGCCTGTTTTGCCTTGTCAACTTTCTGACCACTGTACTGCCTCGAATTCGGATGGATTGCTCTAGCCTCCGGGACTGCTTGCTCGCATAAAGATTTCAATCTTTGTTCACAAATGTCACATCGTTAAATCTTAGGGCAAGCTAGACCAGAGAGTTGAGTGTGTAGAAGCAGAGTTATATGTAGGCTGAAGGAGCAAATGCTAATCTTCGGTTCTTTATACGTGCTAATCCCAATTGTGAAGATAATACACTCCTGAGCACATTACACTCGCCCTTCGTCTTTTACAAATCAGTTTTTATCCGGGAGATGGACGAGATACTTCATAGTGGCGAGATCCCAAAGCTTTGAACTAATTACTTTGCGATTGTCGGCCATCTCTCAAACGAGTTTTCTTATAAAGAGGCGCCGGAGGAACCGAGCCCAGTGTTAGCGACGCTTTCTATGTGCTTGAGGAGAATATAGCAAAGATGTTGCTGATACAAGTCAACTACAGATGCCGAAGACTTTCTCAACATTCCCTGTCAAGGCGTAAATACTTGGAAATGTTGAGAATGCATGCAGATTTGCTCCTGCATTGTAGCAGAGCAGCCAAACCTCGTGTGTTGCAACCCGTAGAGGGTAAGAGTACCTGACTGATGTCGTCACCCGGGGGAAAATTCTGCATCTTTTGACGATCGCCTTTTGTGTATCTTGACGATCTCGGTCACTTGGAATCGCTCATCGTGCCCTTTTGACATCCTGGCCCATCTGCACAGACCACTGTATGGAAATGAATTCCAAAAGACACACCTGCGTGGCACAGCAAGGTTATCGACCCTAGACACTCCTTCAGTGCAGAAGGTGAGGATAGAGAATGTCACTGTCAAGGTCAAAGCTTTTCGAGCTGACGTCGACTATTTATCTGCTCATCACACGATCGAATCATCTCAAGCCGAAACAGAATAAGAAGAGGAAACCATCACCCTGAGGTAGTAAAGATTTCATTGAAGTGATATCCTCCGAGTCTTTTTGGAATCAATGATTGATCTAGTTTGTATATGGGCCGAGCAAAAACACGTCATAAACTCTCTCAATTTCACATCCAGGCTCTCTCTCTCTCTCTCTCTCTCTCTCTCTCTCTCTCTCTCTCTCTCTCTCTCTCTCTCTCTCTCTCTCTCTCTCTCTCTCTCTCTCTCTCGTGTTGACAGATGGAGCAAATTTGAACGTGGCACGAGGCTGGCCTCAGGAAGTCACCCTCAAAGTGCCCTCGTTTCTCTGAGATCACATGGGCACTTCAATTTCCTATCCATGAGACTTCTACTGTAAGCGTCAGCTGCAACTTGCCGATCTGACTTCACTCTCGATCCACGAGCATTCAGACAGTTGTCCGTGACATCGTGCATGTACTGTCGAGGTTGCACACTCGCATGTGTTGAATCATTACGGGAAGAGTCTTCCACGATACGATCTGCAGCTGTCGACAACAACTTCTGTCGCCGACATAAAGTCGGAGATTTCAGATTTCGAGATCTAAATCCAGAGCATGCATTAGATCGTTGTTCTCCAGTTTAAATGAGTCGACCAGGTCAGTGTGTGATTCTGCTTCTTATAATAGTAAGAAGTGTAGCAAAAATCGGATTTGCACACTTTTGTACGTAGTTTGGGTGAGATTAATGACAAATCTCCCCGCTGTGGATATTCTCTGACCTCGAGGTGCTAAGCCGAAAAACTACAGATCGACCTTTCAGTGGACTATCTCTGGGTCAAGCTTTTCGTTCCAACACGAGATTTGACAGCCGATCATAGATTTCCTGTGATGGATCGAATTCGCGGAGTCTTGTCTCGACGGTGTTTCGTCTTCCAGAAAATTTCTTCGATAATAAGCTTCTGAAGGGAAAACGAGGTACCAGTCCTGCAGTAAGGCATCAACCGAAAAATCTCAAGGCACAAAAGAACCCCTTCTCCTAAGAGTTTAAAATTCCATGTCCTTTGCATGTACGCAGTGTCGTGCAAGAGTGGATGATATCTATCATCTTTTCAGATCCAGCGCTCACAATGATCCACTTCCTCCTGGGGTGGTACTGTTTCATTAAATCAATGGAGCGCACCATGACCGATATACTCACTTTATGTCCTCCAACTGCCATGTTGATCTGGGCTCTGACGACAATCAAGCAATGCAGACGGAGAATGCCAACATTGAAAATGTGAGAAGGTCGACTGCTGCACAAAGCATAGGACTTATCAGAGAAGTGAATAAGCCACACATACCCACAACTGAAGGACAAAACCAGCGAAAGGTTTGTTCTGCCTCTGTTCTTGCGCCGGTTGTCTGCCCGGGCTTTGATCCATACAGTACATGTCGAGGACACTTGGACATGCCATGTTCGTTCATTCCATCCACACAGGCACTACTCTTGATAAGGGAATGAGGGAAGACAAGCATAATCCTATTTCACCAAACTGTGTGCGACATCATGGCGTTACATATCAGCCCATTCTTTATAAGTTGACATTGGCTCTGAGATGCTTTAGGATTGAAGGCCATGTTGTCACAAAGTCTCAGGCCAGAAATCTAGCACATCGTTCAAATAGGTTGACTGCAGCCACGAGTATCCAGATCCGATCAATTTGCTGCAACAAAAGCTCCTCGAATTTTGCCTATACGTTGGCAATACCTTCTATTTGGTTAAACTGAAAAGCAGCAAGTTAGCAATTCTGACCTTCTCGGTGTACTGTAATGAGTGCAGTGTATCGAGAAGCGAGATGAAGAAAAATGTCGCAGCGAGACCGTCAAAAAGATGGCGCACGTCTGCTTTAACAAGAAAGATCTTAATCACATCTCCTTGGACGTAACTGAATCAATGGGTTCCGACTGGTTACTCTGTAACTGTAGTTTGTCAAGCTTTCGGTGAAACCTATAAAGCTGCAGATCTCAGAGTGATCCTATAGTGATCACGGCCTAAGACAGAGTAATGATTCCAAGCTGAAATGTGCATGCACGTCCTCCAGGAAACATAACCGCTTATTCTGGAAGTTTATGTGAATCAATTAAGCTGATCCGAACAACTTTTCTAAAAGTCTAGACTGCGCACCATTTGACTATAATCAATTTCAAACTCACGGAGTATCATATTATTGAGGAGGAAATTAAAAATTCGTTTCATTGCTTCAGGTTATGCAAAGCAGATGAGGCAAAACCGCACTTTACGCAGCTCAGTAGGTTTTAACCAGGTCTTTACTCCGCAATTAATGTATCCGGGCGGTGTCTCTGCACCAACAATGGAAAGAGCAAACGTTAATACTTTTTTTTAGAGTCCGGAATAGACCAAAATGAGTCCTTTACCTAAGCATGCTCCTGACGAATAACTGATTATTCCTCGAGCCATTTGCTCCGCGAAATTGGGACATATCCTTGAGGAAAACTTCTTCGTATCGAAAACCTCCGCTTGGTGTTCTACCTTCAGTCAAACAAAAAACGTTTCATCACTGCAATAATAGATGGAAATGTCTATCCGCATAGGTCTCTGTGCCCTACGTTAATACATTTTATATAGTTCCTGAGATATGCAAGGACTAAAAAAGCATTGTATAGAGAAAAAAATTGTTGTATAGGAGACTGAAGCTTGAAAAGATAAACCTCTGTGCTTTCCTAGGAAAATAAAGGAACTTATAATTGAGATGGGATCGAACAAGCAGTCAACAATATCACGAACTGATGGAGTCAGAAGCACGGCATGCAGTGAACATCAGAGGGAGGGCGTTCATACCTTCCATGGATGTGGCATCTTTGTCAACATGCTATTATATGTTAGAGCAACACAATGTAGATTATAAATGTATCATTTATACCATAAATCTGTGGAGAATCTAAGTAGTCATTTCCTTTTACACAACCTTGAACACAGCTACTTTGATAGCCAAGCAAGACTGTGTAGAACTTCATATGAGTTCGTCTTTACAACCTCGAACTACACCGCTAGAGCCCAGACTGACGCCCGAATTCAAGTTGTGGGCACTTCACTGGGTGACGATCATCGACCCGTTACTCAAGAAGCCCACATGTCTTGAGGGTCTACTACACTTAAGGCCGGGCTGACTCTACTAACGGTTTCGGGCTGCAGCAAGTACTCCCCAGTGAGACAATTCTCTGCCCTCTCTTCTTATGCACTTGCAGAGACTTCAATTGGAAAGTTGAGGGCGGTAACAACATATGTTCACTGCTGGCACATTTACGCATTCTTTGACGCTCAAGAGATTCAGTATCTTGAGAAAGAGATTGGAATTGAACCGTTGGCTATGGTAGTGAAAATAGAAATGCCTTGACTTGAAGCAACGAAGTCCCCGTAACATCCTGCATCTGCTGAGTTTCGAAAAAATCTGGATAGGAAAAGGCAAGCAAACAGCACGTGCCAGTTTGTATGGGAGGGCCAGTGGACTGGGAGCCTGAATGGAACAGGGTATGAGAAGAGTTTATGAGGTGACGTTCCATCGCTGTCCTTTAGTGGAGAAGAGCAGACTAGATGTCCCTTCGGGGACATCCGATAAAATTGGAAATATTCCCGCCCTGGAGTAGTCATCAGTGATGACTACAAAACTTCACTGAACAACAAAGATTGTGATGAGTCATCACAATCTTTGTTGTGTGAGGGCGAAGGTCAACTATCTGGATCTCTGGCCATAAGGCAGGCACACCCCAGACTTGAATCTTCATACTTTTCGAAGTGAGAGATTTTGCATTCGCCTACCTTGGCCACAGCGTAAATCTGTAGGCAACATATTTCCAGAGGGGATGCTAAACAACGAAGGCAGGTGAGAAATGTGCGAGCTTGGGAGTTTGTAATAACGTTTAGGACTGTCTCTTCTATGATCTACTAGTGCAATCGTGGGTTCTGCAGTGCACGTGATACGCCTCTGACCAAACTCCTCCAACAGCCTTTCGCTAGAATTCCTAAGCCTTCACTGGCCCTCCCTCTTCACTGAGTTCCTACCGGGGTCGTCCATAACATCTGACAACACATCCACTCCCCACTTCTCTAAATCCTCTGCTAGAAGCCTCTCGCACGTCCTCGTTTTTGCCACCTTAGCTAACTCGTTCATTCCCCCCAAAGTTCCACCTGGGACACTCACTGCAGACGTCTCTGTTGTACGCTCTGCCTGCTGAAATCCGACCTGCCGAACCCTCTCATGCTTCTAGCTCACTCCAATGTTTGGCGCACCGACCCTTTCACCCATCTGCACCAATATCATCCGTGCATCTTTCACAAGTATGATACGATAGATAGCACGGGAAGGGAAGGTGATTGAAAATGGGAAAGAGGGTTACTGGATGTTATGGGATTAGAAGTCGAATCTCTTAAGGAGGCGAATTCTTCTGCCATGAGCACCCACAGTGCTCCGGATTTCTCCCGTCAATATTTGCGCTCAAAGTTTCTCCTATTTCATGATTGTGCTCTCTCCGGCGGCCGGTTTTGGGGACTATTGCACCTTGTTGTCGAGCATCAGATTTTGTTTTCAAGACAGATTCTCTTTCTGCTGAAGAGGAGGATCCTGATCGCACAGAGAAATTCGGCCACCCGAAGCATGTTGAAGTAGGAGGAGCAGTGCATTGGATGGCCGTCTGCATCAAGGAGACGAGGGCACCGAATTCACCTTCCGGCCGCTTGTACGGACAAGTGGTATACTGCAGGCATTGATGGGACAATGTTGACGGGGAGCAGCTGCGTGATCAGGTGCCTCGGGACGAAAGGAGGTCGAGAATTGTGACTTCTGTTCGAATGCTGGAGCGCTCCACAGTTCAGTAGGAAGGAGGGCCTCCAATCTATCGACCAGAAACCACAGGATCGTCCATCAATCGACGTCGACATCATCATCGCATTGACTCTTGACCTTTCTAGGGTGCTCCTCCTGGAATGAATCGAGGAGTGGCCAACTCCAAGGTTTTTGGGAGCCCCGCTGGCCGTAAAAGCGCTGGAGGAGCTGGTAGGAGCAGGGCAGCCTAAGAGAAGTAAAGTTTCCAGAGCTGGATCGCCCGATCAAATGTACCAGTCGACCTGCGCTAGTGAAGATCGTCCATTGTTAAGCAGCTCGTGAGAGCACATTGTTCAGTCTGCGGAGGAGGTAAGTGATCGAGAGATGGTGAGACACCATGAGGTCTCGATGAGTAGAACGAGGTGGAGCTTACAAGCAAGTTTAGCCTTTCTTGTCATGTTTGTGACGCTGAGTGGTTTCTACGCGTCGGGATTCCTGAGCTTCAAGCATGACAAAGACTGGCACTTCGGAGATCCCGGCAGCAGTTTGAAGACCTCATCCGTCTCTCGGAAAGTGGCCAGTACGCAATTGAAAGTAGGCAAGGCTATGGAAGAAATTCAAGTTAAGCTGGGCCAGAGTCCCGCCGAGAGCCTGGAGGAAGCTTTGTACCAGCTCAGATCGGAGCACAAGAAGAGCAGCATTCTTCTGCTGGAGGTGGCGGCCACTCTCGACATTGTGCAAACTTACCTTCTCATCAAGGATCTCCATCCAAGTTTCCAGGCGATGGCCTCAAATCTTCCAAAGCCCGACTCACTTAATGGCACCACCTCTACCAACTCCACAATAGAGCAGCAGGCTATAAAAACAGCGGCGGAGCAGAAATCGGACCCGGCTTCGGTGGTCAGATCCGAGACCACCAAAGTAGACATGGCCGACCCCATGACAGGAGAGGACGAGGAGAAGGAGGAAGGAGAGTGGGCCGAGGAGGACGAATTGCAGTCGGAGAAAGATCCGCTGGTTGAGTATTTTGAGATCGAGGAGATCAAGAAGTACATCCGCTCCAAGTACAATAGACTGGGAAGGAAGAACTTCATGGGTGCCAATGCAACCTATGCTTCCATAGGCCACGCATGTGTGTCGAAGAAGTTCGAGCTCGAGCAGTACATGGAGTATGACGTGGGGGAGTATTGCTCCGACGACTGGCCTCTGGGGCAGAAGCTGATGGTACACGGATGTGATCCTCTCCCTCGGAGGAGGTGTTTCGTGCGGGGCCCCAAGATATACACCAAGCCCCTCCCTATCAACGAATCTCTGTGGAAGCTACCGGATGATAGAAATGTCCGGTGGGATAATTACATCTGCAAGAGTTTCGGATGCTTGGCTGGACCCAACAGGAAGGGCTTTTTCAAGTGTGGAGAGTGCTTTGATCTGCAAGGGCATGAGAAACCCAAGTGGACAGAAGTGACCAACACATCCACGGATGCCGATTTCATGCTGGAAGAAGTGCTGCAGATGAAACCAGGTGAGATCCGAATTGGCTTGGACTTTTCGGTGGGAGTTGGCACTTTTGCAGCACGAATGAGGGAGCACAACATAACCGTGGCATCTGCAACGCTGAACCTCGGAGCTCCGTTCAACGAGCTGATTGCTCTCAGAGGACTTCTGCCTCTGTATCTGTCGCCCAACCAGAGGCTGCCCTTCTTCGACAACACTCTGGACATCATTCACACCACCCTGTTCCTGGACGGGTGGATCGACCATCAGCTACTGGACTTCATCCTCTTTGACTGGGACCGCTGCCTCCGGCCTGGAGGACTTCTGTGGATAGACCGGTTTTTCTCCAAGAAAGAGGACATGGACGACTATCTGTATTATTTCGAGCAGCTGCGTTACAAGCGGTGGAAGTGGGTCGTCACACCCAAAGTTGACAAGGATGACGGAGAGCTGTGGTTTTCTGCTGTCTTGGAGAAGCCTCCCCGGCCCTTCTGAGCCGGAGCATCCTGCAGACCCTTCTGCGTGCCAACACCTTCACCACTCACTCACTCCTTCACGTCTGCAAAAACGGGACGCGGTGAGAGATCGATGGCTTGGTGTCAAACATCAACGTCTTCCATTCTCCCACCGACCATTGTAGACCCCGTTGTAGAGTAGCAAACTGAAGGGCTCGAGCAAAGCTGCTGTAGGTACTCGGTTGCTCCTTGGGTTCGCTTTCCGGCCTACTTGGCACTGTGATTGCAGCCTCGCAATTTACCAACCTCAGTCATAGATGTCAAAAGCTGCAGCTGAGAGCCGCAGCTTTTGAAATCTAAGACTTGATCATGAACCCCCATGAGGTGGAACAGATTGATCTCCATCGAGCAGGACTACACTCGTTCCCACCTAGGTGCAAATTGTTCGGAGTCAGTGGCCAAAGGAGGCAGTCCACCAAAAAGCTACTCAACCTCTACTGGGGAAACTAAACTAGCCCCGCTCCTCCAAACAAGGTGTGTGCCCCGCTTCGCCTGGACTTAACGGTGCTAGTGAGATCCAATTTGTAGTCCTTGTTCAAAAGTGTCCGCTCACTTCCTCAGAAGTTATTTAAACAGGATCCTCAAAGTTTCGATGTCATTGCACCCCGAAATCGAAGGACCAAACGGTTCAAAGCAAAGCCGCCTGGAATCATATATTTACCAAGGCTTCTGTGGAAGCACGATAGGCTCCTCACAGGTAGCTCGCATAATCAGAAGATGCATGAATAGATTGCACTTTTATCCAACCTTCCATTATAAAGAGCAATGTCAGTTTTCGAGACTCAAAGTTTCCGGGACTAGCCAACTGTCTGCTTAATTTGGTCCCAGTGTATACACTAAATCTCCTCACTTTTGTACCTGTCACATTGGTGTACATTCAGTGTTCCTGTGGAACTATGCCGGGTCCATGGGTTTCGAAGAAAATCCACTTAATCCGTGAATCTAGTACCAGTCCTTTCTCGAACGAGTTGTATTCGCCGACAGTAGAAGTCAGTGGGCTCAGCTTGCAATGAGTCTGTCACCTGAGTGTACTTTCTGGTTGCCAAATCTGAAATCTACCCTCAGTGCCCTATACGTGTCTGAAATATGGCACGCTGAAATGAAGGTGCGAAACTGAAGCACACAAGTGGTTAAGAAGCTTTATCCCCTATACAGAGATGAAAATGGTCGACAACGAGTGTATATCTTCGATATTGATGTAACCTTGATGAATTGCATGTCACCGAAAAGAAAGCAGCTTCTTCCTTAGTTTCGTCATTGGGTCATTCCAATCAAATTTAGTCTCCCATCTCACACATGTTTCTGAAAAATAGCAAGAATACCAAGATTCCAGGCACTTCCGAAGGAGCCAGTGACACATGTTGAGGCGGAGAACCCTCAAAGATTGACCTCTTTTCTACTACTCTCTAGTCCTGCGTTCCTACCTCGATAACAATGTCGCGAGAAGCAACCACCTGTAAGACTGAAATCTGGACAGCTTCTTTCGACGTATAATACACTCCGTAAGTGGATGTGCCTAAAACAACTTATGAATGTTTATGATATCCTTTCGGCTCTGATCTTGCTCTAGCCCTGAACTATTGTCATAGGTTGTCCATTAAACAATGATGATAGTGTTTATCTCACTGTCCACACATCTGTCACAGCAATGACCCAAATATGGATCGAGGCCGCAGTACAGGGTCCGGATATCCCTATCAATCAAACGAGTAGAAGCCCGCCTTAATCATGACGGAATTCAACAAATCTCTAGGAAGTCTTAGTTTACAGCGGGCTAAAATCAGTATAAATACATGGCAAATGCACCGGCCACGCAAAAGATGGAGTCGTTGGCGAAGGACTCGTGTGCGTAATTATCAGTATTGGGATCCCAAAAGCATCGACAAGACATTTGAAAGCCTTGACCTCGTTGCTCCCCGAGCACAGCCTGTACAACCAACTTGTATCTGTCCAGATCCATCTCTGCGACAAGAACAACGAAACGATACTCAGTTTCACGGTCTTATGTATGCTGATCGCGGGATGGAAATTGAAGCTCTTCGTTAACACTCTGAAGAGATCATGAGGAAGCTTCTAGCAAATGTCGAGTTTTCGGACTGTGCAAAGAAATGAACATCTTCCTTGTGGTGTAATCTACGCTAAGGTAGGGTTTGAATTATCTAAATGAAGCGTACTTCAGTTCATGTACGGTAGGGGAAGTTTTGGTACGGGTTCAAGACACGACAGTGATTCAAAAGATTAGAAGTATCGTCTGGAACTCGGTGTTATCTTTTTGTCCTGGAAAACAAAGAAAACAAAATTCCTGAAATCCCCACTTGAAGGGGAAGAAAACTGCATCGGCCGGGAATCGAACCCGGGTCTGTTCCGTGGCAGGGAACTATTCTACCCCTAGACCACCGATGCTGCTTGACAATCGTCCTCAAAATTACTTTTATATATAAATTTTTAGACACGTGTTACCCAAAGAGACTGTCAGAAGGAATGGAGCAGAAAGATTGGCGTACAAATGAGCAGAAAGGCAAATTTGATCGGCATCAATTCTAAGATTGACAGGGAGAATCTAATGCCAGGAATATTAGATAGATTAAATGATAACAAGCCTCTTGATTTGTTGAAGCGAGAACAGTTTTCAAATCACAAAGTAGAAGAGCGAGGTCAATTGTTCGGAAGCGACAAAAAGTCGCAGGAAATCAAAACATGGATGGCACAGGGAAGATTGACATGGCATCCCTCAATGAAGGGCAATTGAAATGCTACAGTAAAGAATAATAGGTGAGGTAGACTAGGAATAAATTTTGTCACTTGTATTCTGTAAGCTGGAAATCCACGGTTAATTTTCTGCAATGTGATAATATTTTTGTGTCACGAAGCAGGACTTTGCGGGGAGACTTTGGATGATATTCTAAATTACCCGGGATGAAACTTTACTAGACTCACAAGTCACAGGTCTGAAACTTTACTCTTACAATTTGAGACCATTTTCTTAAGAGAAAACCTGCAAGTGAAGTTGAAATCGAAATCATTTAATGGCAGTGTGTAAGTTAGCCAGAGAAGTTTATTAAAGTTTCAACGAAAGATCATATTCACGTCCACACTTGCACGAATTTCCTTACGTGACCACGTTTTCTATATCGGAGGGTAAGGATTGGTGAGATGGCCCTACCTTTGAGCTTTGCCTTGATTGCGTCTGTGATCTCACGAACGCACATAGGGGCGGTATCTGCATCGTATGTGGCGCCCGTTAGCTTTTCCTTTAGAATGGCCCCAATCATTTCCTTGGCCTTTCCAGGAAAGAATCGGCATCTGGGAGCGTAAGGAACATCGGTATGCACAACGACCTGAAACCGAAATTTTACAACGTAACTCGACATTAGCAGTTGTCTCTGAGTATTTGAAGCGCGGATTTGCTGAGCTAAAAAAACTGGGGTCCAAGGACTGGAATGTCATCATCTGACATGTGATGGATATACAAATGTCCCCGAATTGCAGGTTTAAGACGCCTTAAACATAGAAGACTGCATCGTGAATAATATTATTGCTTCGACGTCTCGACAAATTTACCCGAGCATGAGGTGGGAGATCTTCGGGTTTAGGGTCCGCCGATGCACTCAGGGTTTCGTGGGCCTCTAGTAAGCTCTCAATCTTTCCAGTCGTAGTGGTGGTCGTCTGAGAGTCCGTCATCTCGATCACAGCTGTCTCCGTTCCTGCTCACTGTCGGACAATATTACTGAGATTTACTCGCCCTCGACTACATTCCTCGGAGGAAAAGCGAAACACATAGAAAAGAACCCTACGTCTTCTACGCGAGAACGAAACCTCTAAACTCTCAGCCACACAACTCTCAAGAAAACGAACATCGAACTGTGTCTGTTTGAGGAATTAAGGAATAGCTGATGCTTCCAGAAGACTGAAGTGCATGCTGGACACGGTGAACTTCAAGTTCGTGCTATACAAAATTCTACACCAGACACATTCGGCTTCTGAGAGATCCCGAAATTCCGTCTCGTAAAACTTAATCGCAGCATTCAATCTGACTGCCAAAGTCGGACCAAGGTGTACAGAGCATCTTCAAGATCGCCGGTAGGAACACCAAAAAGGATATGGAGCTGAAGAGTTCACTGACCCTCTTCTTGGAATTAGGGAGAATACAGAGCTCACAATTGGATCTCTCGAGGTCTCCTTCCAGTCTCTTGAGACATCGACCCTCCCACCACAGGACAGAGCGGGGCTCCTCGAGCGTTGGAATTCGGCATTCCTGAATTTGTGCCCCGCATACTCTTCTAGTACCGGGATCAAGAAACTGGTGCGCGGGAAACAATTGAACGCTAACGGTTCGTGCCGGCGCCGTGACCCTCCGGAGTCCAGAGTCTTACCGCGCTCTCACCGGCGGGCGGTCTCGAAGCATCGGGCGGGTCTCGAAGCCTCCGACTCAACGACCAACCGCTTCCTTCGCCTTGCGATCGTGTTTGAAATTCGCCGTCGGCGGATTCACTCCGTCTTACCCCAGTCAGTCAGTCAGGACAGAGAATTACTGGCCAGTGCCCCAGGGCTTGTAATTTTACCATCGAATGCAAACATTAGCTCCCAGTACGGCCTGGGGTCCTCCGTCCAGACGACGACGCCATGTCTCGTAGACTCAACATTTCCCGAGAGCACATCGTAAGTGCTACCACTTGGACAGGTCATCTTCGGAGACTTCTACTTTGATAGAGTGCTAGCGCTGGCTGGTTGACGTAAAGTGAGAGAACGGATGGTTCCAAAACATTCTGCATGGCCTCGCCCTAAGATTATGCCAATACTATACGACGTTTCTATGCAATGTATGGCGTCCTTCGAAATTCTTTCAAAAAAGTAAAGGTTTTATGATTCGGCACAAGCACAAAAAAAGAGAAAATATGCTGTCTACATGAAAGAAATTCGTTCCTGAAATCAACATGAGAATTGCATGGCTATAACTTATCTCAAAACATATTATTGTTTTTTGCTGATAATTTCTTTTCAGTATTCAATATAATTTTCACTTTCAAACATGAGTGGTGCATGAATAATCAATAGAATTACTTGATACAAATAATAATGGGTATAGGGTTTGTGTATCATATATACATCTAATTCGGGAATTTAACATGCATCCCAAGTGATCATGACATTATGATAGAATGTAAATGAGATGTCCAAATATATTACTAACTAAAATTAAGTCTAACTTGCTGTTGAACTATTGCATTAACTTGAAACCGGAAATTAACATTTGATGTATTTAAAAAATTTCGATTTTTTTATCTATTGTATATATCCAGGTCAGTGAATGGACCTGACCTGGAAATATACAATAGATACAATAATATTTCAAACGAAACATTAATTTCCAGGTTAGAAAGATTTTTGAAAGTTCTTGACTAAAATGTTATGAACAGAGTTCTGAAGTTTACATGTTTGTAAAAGTTTCAAATGACTTATAATTATTTCTCATTAAAATTTTTATTTCTCATTATTTTTGTATTAAAACTATACACAAACGAAGTGTTCATTATACGCTAAAAAAAGTAAACATGTTCTAAACAACTGTAAAAAAGAAATTTTCTTCAAATTGAAGAGGAGCTCATTTCAAATGATTCTCTTAAAACTTTGTTAGTGACTAAAGTGTGCATGAGTTGTATTGTAGATATTTCCAAGTACCATGTGACTGATAGGCTTGGCCACGGTCCGGTCCGGACCGACGGTTAACCGGTTAACCGTCGGGACCGGTTAGCCGGTCCCAAATGTCTCCGGGACCGATTAACCGGTCCGGGAAAAACCGGTTCCCGTTCGAGTCTTGAATCTTCACAATCCATCGGTACCAAAACTGTAGGTACCCAATTCGTGACTCAATGTATTGAGAAAATTCATCATCACACCTTTAGCCTGATCTCGGCCTCATTGCAAGACGGAAATGTTTTGACGAGCCCCACACGAACTCTGAACTCACGACAAAGGAATAGGAAGAAATCGAGCGCTCAATTCGAGCCTGATGCGGAATTCAATCCGCTTCAGGATTTTAGTTGCTCTCGTGAGCTGGTGATCGTCAAATTGCGCAAATATGTCACCTGTTGCTGTGACGATCGAGGCTTACGAGGTGGGACCTGTGCAAGGACGTATGACAGGATTCTGCTGAACGTCGTTGTCGAGTTCGTCGTGGAATGCACGCAAAAATTCGGGAGATTTAGCCGACCGTCAGAATAAGGTGCTGAATTTGAGAAACTATTAGTCCTTTGCACACAATCCTTGGCCACGATCCTGTCCGGACCTACGGTTAACCATCGGGACCGGTTAAAGTATAGGTTACCCTTTAACTGATACGGGCCAAGCCCGGACCGGTTAAACTATCGGTTAACCGGTCCACAATTTTTCCGAACCGGTCGACCGTTAACCGGACCGTGGCCAAGCCTAGTGACTGATACGCATTACATTGGGAATGGGGATGTTTCGTGAGGCTCGAGTGCTATTGGAACGGTTCCACCTGTTCTGCAATGGTATCACTGTCATGAACTCTATTGCCACGTAACTCTTTGATCCAAAATGAAGGGAAGCAGCTTGCTCTCGAACGGAATCAACGATCTTCCTCGTTAGCCATGTTCATAACATAGTTCAGGCGCGGGGCTTTTCCAGGATTTTTTCGACAGAGTACGACAGCATTTTGTGTAACCTAATCGATTTAGTGCATAGTCTGCACAGGAGTCGAGGAACCTCGATGGCAGCCACGAATTGTGCGAAAATTTCAGAAGAGGACCCTCCCGGTCTCAGTGCCCGAGCTGCGGCAGGTTTCATCGCCTCAGCTTACCTTGTCCTTACCGCTTCACATCGTCTTCATTCACTTTCTTCTTCACGTATGGTACTAAAAATACCACTTTTGCAGCATCTGCCATGTACCTAGACAGACTTCATGAGTAATTTGCTGTTAGTGATTAGATGGAGACAACATTCTACTGTCTACTGAATTGATCATCCGGGATCTACAACTGAGCAACCAGAAGCTCAGAAAGTTCCAGACACGGTAAACTGAAGTAAGCATTAAACGATGAGGAGAACAGATATTCGACGTTCGAAATGGAACATGAGGTCTATTGGACAGTCCTCCCAAAGGATCTGGATGCGATGTCCAGCTTTAGTCATGCCCGCTGTTCAGGGGACTCAGACTGGACAGTGCACATTAGAGTCGAAACATGGTCAAGCGATGGCATGTACATGGATGACGTACTTGCTTGCCATGGAGAGGCTGGCTGATCATACGAGCTGGCCCATCCTCGTCACTAAGGGCTCCTCAAAAATGAGAGAACGCGACCTCTGCCCGCCCAGGCTTTCTGCCCGCAGCCCGACCCCCACTCCTCACCCGGGCCCACATCCCGACCCCCTCCCCCCGCAACCAGACACCCTCCCCCGCAGCCCGACCTCCCGGTTACTAGTTATTAGTTGTGGAGACCCTCCCGCTTTAGCTCGCCCATCGGGCTCTTTCTCTCGCGGCCTCCCTTCCCGGCAGGGAACTTGTACTTCGTAGTTTTTTCCTGCCCCATGCCCCAATTCTCCTCCCCTCGCAAAGGGGAGGAGAAATGGAGTAGCATGTTTGGGGCTTCCATTCTTCTTACCCCAAAAAACAACTAGGTCTTTTTCTTTCTAAAGCTTTAGTTTCTAAGGAAATTATCTCTCTTCAATTTTTATATTTAAGTAAATCTATTCATCTATCAACATGATGGAGAATCACAAGAGAAGGTTTTGAAAGATTTTATGAAAGATTTCACAAAAGAAAAATTATAAAGTGATAACAAGATAAATGAAAAAACTCAAATCATAAATTTTATTTCACAAAAATCTCATGGTCACAATTTTTGCAAAAAATAGAATTTCCTCCTCTGCAAAAAAGGAATCTGATAAGCTGATAATCCGAATCGTGCTCTTTTCCCCACATGAAGTTAGGTAACGTCTTGACGAAAGTCTTAAATATCGACGATTATATCCACTCTGGAGAAGACTCGCCCGTAATAATTAAGTTGGCAGCTACCTGAGGCGGAAAAAACACACTCAATACTCTCATTCTCTGAACTTACATGGCCAGACGAAGGAGATAATTCTCAACACCATTGTTGGGCTCGATTGTTATTGCCAGCGTTTTTGATTAATCAGAAGTTTGATTTTTCCGATTTACTGCTTGAACGCAGCGCCTGCCTGCGTCTAATTTTTCCAACCAAATCTCCGAAATGGAAGACATGACATACCTCGCAATACATTTGTTGTTCGCAGTTCTCTTCAAACGTGGGACAGAATCAGAAGGGGCTAAACTATTTAATAAAATTTAATGTAATTTAGCGTGAAGGACTCGGTGACTGGCATTGGCAGTGGACGCAGACATTTTGCGAAGGGACGGGAAATGGAAAGTGGAGTGATCGGGAGGCGGCCATCCCTAGTCGGGCGGGGGAAGGGGGGATGGGGTCGGAGGCGGGGAGGTCGGGCTGCGGGCAGAGGTCGCGTTCCCTCATTTTTGAGGAGCCCTTAGTGACGAGGCTGGCCCATGCCATGAAATAGATTCCATCAAGGAATTTCATCCTCTCTGCATGAGGAAGGAATCCGTTGCGGGGTGTTTATAATTACTCAATTGTGCTGCCCGCCCTCGCGCAATGAGCTCATGATCTCTCACTCACTCCTCAAATCCTCAAGTGCACTTAGTCGGTAGCAAGTGATGCATGCCTTCGGCTTTCACAGTCGGAGTCGGAGTCTCAGAACCTACAGAAATCTCGATTTGCTTTCCTCAAGTCCCTGTGTCAACTCGTGGACCATCTGCGTGCCGAAAAAGTTGAACCCCGTGGTTCCATTGTTCACATACACGACATAGTTTCTGGTCTTCGGTTGTTCGGACCTACGGGACGGAGGCCGTAACTGGGCGCTGTCCGCCCATAGCAAACATTTATCCTCCCCATACCCATCATCAGGCCTCTGTAGATTAGGCATATGTCTAATTGAAGCATATTATACTTAATGAAATTAGGCACGATTAGTTATCATTGTTTGCAAAATACCAAGATTGATATTCTATTGATTTTTATTCAATTTTACAGAGTATTGATTCAATTTTAGCAAGATATTTCAAAATAAAAACATTTATACGAAATTCATTCTATTTGATTCAACTAGAACTTCTCACGAAAATAACTCGACATAAAAAATTTCAAATCGAGATAAATTTCTCTCAACCCCTGTTCCTGATAGCATCAGGAACAGGGGTTGAAAGAAATTCTATTTTTTTCAAATTTGCCTAAATCCCAAGTTAAGGGTCTCAGCTCGATCCACTAGAGGAATTCTTCTGATATGTATCTTGCATGTGTACAGTCACTATTATCTGAATGACTTTTACTTTCTTGGTCTCTATGAGTTAACGTAACAGCAGATCGACGAGGTTATGTATAATCACGCGAATGAATCTTGCATGTATCTTAAGCAGGAATTCTCTCAGAAAACATAATCTCCCTATATAATTGCTTCAAGGTGTGTTACATATCATACTCTTTACATTGGAGAAATCCTCTTAGAGAAAAAAACAATAAGTGACATGTTAAAAATGTTTTTCTTGAATTTCAACATTGAGAAGTCACTTTCAACAAGCGTTGTATTTTAAAACAATGAACCCAATCCACGGACAAATTCTACTAGTACGTTTGATCGTTTTGCTGTTTTGTATTTCGAAATTTTTCGTTTTGAAACTACTCCAGAAATAATTTTCAGATTACGGACTCAAGAGATTTGAAATTAGAGATATTAGACATCTATTTTTAGAATGCCTAATGTACGGAGACCTGCACATCATACATTTTTGAACAAAATTTTGCTGACTTGAATTTATGAGCTGAGCCAACCAATCAGTATGGCATTAACAGCGATTTCCTCTACTCAAACATCGGCGGAAATGCTCCTGCATCTCCGATGTCCAAATATGCTGACTCAACTCCGTAATTCAGTGATCAATCTCAAAGCTAAACGAGAAAACTGATCTCATTCCAGTGTACACCACGAGTCACATATTTTCTAGCAGGCTGATTCCAATTGCGTGTGATACTTCCACAGTTTACTACGCTAATGTGCTAGCAATACTAACGGTGGGTGCATACGCTCTTCCGAACGCCATCTATGAAGAACGACTCCAACTCGTAGAACGCGTTCGTCAAGACGCCATCATCTGTGGGAACAAAGTACTGACGCAAATTCTCCTTAAAGCCTTCGTCGTCGAAGAATCTTCTGACGTATCCTATGGGAGCTGGAGGAAAGTTCGGGTAAGTCGGACGACAGAGGCTCTGGTCTATCAGCATAAAGTATAATATATTTTAAATATTTGTAATTGCATGAACATCCAGGGGGCGGTGGCGCAGTTGGTTAGCGCGTCGGTCTCATAGCTCACCGAGAAATCCGGAGGTCGAGAGTTCGAGCCTCTCTCGCCCCACCTTTTGTTGTTGCCTATGGTTACCGTCATCGAAACCCACAATTTACCGGCGCAAGTGTCCTTGTCTCTCGTATCTCGAGAGAACCTGTCCTTCGTACGATATGTGAACGGATTTCGTGTCGTCAAGTGGAAAATTTTGTACAGGATCTTTTGTGGATAATGGTCCCATTCCCAGGTTTGGCTGTCCTATGGAGGAAATACGTCAGTGGATTTTAAATCATGTCAAGCATTTATTTTATAATTTTGCTCTAATTTCAATTCAGGCAGTCGATATAAATCATCATCACACATCTGACTGCGATCATTAGTTTTGCTCCACCGTCTCAACCTTTCTACCGACGCAAGTCAATTAACAGTAGTTCCGTTCTCCACTCGTAGACGTTCGGGGACTTGATGCAAAACATTAGAGGTTTCCATTGGAACTATGTTGACTCTCATCAAACATGGAGAAACTGTTCAGGTACTCCTAGAAGAGCTGCAACATTGAATCTATCTCAGCAGAAACATGAAAAGTTTCATGTATTCCAGCTAGTCGGAGATTCTTGAAATTTATTACCAGCAGAATACTGGGTGGAAGCAAGAGTTAAAAATCTGTATTTTTAACATATTTCTCTCTCGCGATTTGGAATCCAATCAATGCAAGCACGTCAACCGTCTTTGGAAAATTAGTTTCACCCTCTCCTCTCGTTTTCCTTTGTATCCCAGTAGAATTGATGACCACTAAGAATCTTCTACTCTCAATCAAAGATGAAATCTATGGTAAGTGCGAACCCAATAATTTCAGCAAGTTGCTCCATCTTGGAGTGTGCCATCCGATAAAGTAATATTCTTAAAGCATCTCTTTTTGTAAGGTGCACGTTTTCTTTCTTGGCTGATCTGTTGACTTCGTTGCTCTTTCACTCGTCCTTTTGCAGCAATAAGTCAGGGATCTTCAGAGCATTCCGATTCTCCTCACATTCAATTGTAGGTAGAACCTGAGCTTGAAAATCCAGAATTATAACGAACAAACTTAATTGTAGAGCATTGCACAATATTCACTTGTAACCTTCTCAATTACAAAGATCTATTCGTACATCTAATCGAATATAAATCCGTATTAAGAGGTGAGAAACATGTTTTCAGAACTTGACATCTCCATCTCCTTCATCATATCTTTCTCAACCCATGAGAATAAGTAATTGAACATGGCTGTTAAAAACGCCAAGGGACCTACCTCCGAAATAACAATACAATGGATACAGATTGGATACGAGTAACAAACAATGCAAGGTACATTACTGGAATGAATTATCTCTATTGATCAAGTTATAATCATTAAAAGAAAGATGTCAATCTTTTTGCACACTTCCGTGCGGAGTCATTTAATTTATTTTATAGAAATGACGATTTCCTATAATCTTCAATGGCTCAGCCTCTGGGGTTGAGTGCAGATGGCCCATCGTATTAGGTTTCTCCATATATTTTTATCTGAGATCATCGTTATTTTTCTCGCTTTTTTACATATAATTATTTGTAGTTATTATTTTGACTTTTAAATTTTGAATAATTATTAAAAATTATAAATAAATCCTTAAAATTATAAATCTTCGGAAACTAGTTTGCAATTTTGTTGTTCCTATTCATTGGATTTCAATATACTAAGTACTCACAATAATAGACACTGAAACCACGTATTTAAAATCTCTATTGTAAAAACTGATTTAGAATTAAGAATATCTAGTATTTTATTGATTCTCTTCAATCAGCTGTAACACCTCAATTAAATGAGCTCAAACTCTACACAAAGCTTACAAAACTTTGACCCCAACAATCTCAAATTTCGACTGAATTGTGAATTACACTCCTTTTCCAAAGAATCCAACAACCGAAGTGCCCAAATTCATTGGCTCTATGTGCTCTTCCGTATCTTATGATCAAGTGTGAACGGTAAGAATAGTTCAAGCTTGGACATGAGATTCAAAAAAATTTAATCTCGATGTGTACCACATTGCGATGTACAACATGGCGCGCAATCCGTGCTTCCATCCTACAGGAAACGGAAGTACGGATTGCGCGCCATGTGCTACGTCGAGATTAAATTTTTTGTAGATTGCAGACTTCACACCCTCTGTGCGAAGTCTGCAATCCCCGGTCTATACCCCTCTGGGGTATAGACCGTCTATACCCAGAACGGTCCGCTAATCCTGTGGTGATCCGCCCCTGATGGAGCATAATGATCTGGACTAGTCCTCTGAGTAATATGACAGGACCTACCTTCGTCACTACATCCATAATCCGTCTTATTGTCACTTCGTTTCGCAATCGATTTTAATCAGATTCAGACTTTCTAGAAGATTCAGACTTCAGACAACGAATGATTAGATTCGTTGAATCTAACGAATCTTCCAACGACTCTACGTGCGCTGTAGCTGCCCAACGCATATAGAGAAATTCCTAGCAAAAATATTATGCATTCTTCGGTTCTTGCGGGGTGTGCCGCGCTCGAAAGTGCTGCCTTCGTAGCGCAATATTCACGTTTATGCATACAATTAAGTCCAAGAGTTTTGAACGAACACCATCATCTGAACGTGTCTCACTTTCCAGGAAAAACACTAAGGATCTGGAAGAGACTGCTAGGAACAATGATCACATTAATTTCAAAGACACGGTATTCCAGATCAAGAAATTGCCATTTTGAATTATACCATACAAGATTGGCAATAGGTTGTGCTCCAAGACCCAGAATGGTATGGACGATAAGATCTTATTTTGTGCTTGGATACTATATACAGCTTCGCCAGGGTATGCACAGATATTTGGTACCCAGCCTTACCATGTGATCTATCTACTTGCTACGTAATCGATGGAATCAACTACATGAAGGCAATATGGTTACCCTAGGCAGAGGGTGACGACAGGGTGATTCAGGAAGTGAGGAGCATGTACAACTCAGGAGACGAGGCTAACTCTTCTCGCTCAAGGCAAAGGCTCCTCGGTTTTTGCATTGATTCCGTTTGTGAGAAGATCGCCTACTTGCTCGCCTTTGGCCTCAGGCTGCTGGAAACCGGTGAAAGTTTCCGTCTCAGCAACTTTCTCGACTTTCTCCCCTTGTTCATCCTGAGCAGATGGTACTTCCTCCGCTTTAACCTCTGCCTTATCTGCTACAGGCATGCTCACAACGTGCCCTACAACTACAGTAATATCGTCGAGCTTTCCGCCTGCGTTTCAAATAGTTAATGTGAGCACGAGGACAAACCCTATAGAATGCCCATCCATCGGTACAAACCAGGAATAACATTGATTGGTTTTGAAAAGCGGAGTTTTTTGTGAATTTTTACTTTTTCCAGCAATACCAGTTTTGCACCTTTCACGAATTAATGTGATGTGTTCTATAGCTCAAATACACGTATGTTACAGAGGAGGGGAGATTTGATGGGCTTACCTGTCATCTTTTTCCCAAAAATCTTTGAATACCACGGCACGTCGTGACCCTGCACAGCCATATCATCAGAGTTAACAATCGAAAGCACACGATAAAGCTGTTTGTAGAACTACTTAGCAGGACACTGACATCTTTGAATAAACATAAAACATGAGTGCAGGATACAGGAAGGAGCATTCACCTGTGACACGGCTTCGACGGCATACGGAGAATTATAGTTTCGATCCCTTGCATGCTTGCTTGCCAGTGTTGCTAGAGCCATTGCTGCAAGAGCAAAAGAATCAACGTTGACAAATAAGAATCAGTGGGTTTTTGTGTGTCATCTCACAAAAATCTTTCAAAGTGAGATTCTTGTTCTGTCCTCTGCCATACCAAGGCGATTGGCCGAGTCTTCGTCTGACCCACTGAATACTTTCACAGTAGACTCGATGTCGGAATCATACACGTTGTCAAATAGTCCATCAGAACCCATGACAATTGTGTCTCCTTCTAATAAATCCAGATCGTATATCTGCAGGACCCAGCAAAGCAGACATTTTAGCTCAGGTTACGTGGAACTGAACAGAAAATCCTATCACCAAATGAACTATAATCGATAGACTCAAGCATGATACATACGGCTGCGTCGTCTGCAGTCTGCGCGTTCTCCGAGCTGAATTGATACGGGCAGTCGAAATAATGCTGCTGCGGAGCAGTGGCGTAGACTACCTTCCCTGCAATAAAAGTAGGGAACAACGCGAAGTCAACATTTAGCAATACATGAGCTGGTGAGTAGTGGCAACGTAGGACATGCACGAAACTCATTTCAGTGCTGAATCAAAGCAATACCGTTACGTATAAGTCGTAGTCCACAATCACCGAGATTTGCTACATGAAGAGTGCCCCTTTCATCCAAAATTGCAACAATTCTGTGATTCAAAGACCACTGCAGCTTCAGTAAACAAGCAACTCCCTCCTAGGCATAAATCCTACACCTAACAGATACACAACATTCTCTACTAAAGGCCTTTATCTCCACCTTGCAACTGCATAGAGACACAGCGAAGTGCCAGCACAGACCGACATAAGTGGATCACAATTTTTGAGTCTAAAAAGCACCGATTGCACACATGCCATAATCCGATCAAAGCACTTAGAACATCCGGGACCTTACGTATGCTCAAGTTCGAAATTAGGGTCGAATTACTCTGAAGGAAGTAGCTACCACAGGCTACAATCATGCAGTTGTAGAGTCTGCAATCATTTAGCTTTGAAAGACTAAGCCTGCTTGTACCTCTCTGTAACTCCGTTTCTACATAAGCCCTGCTCGCGGGGCAGAAATTACGAATAGTTTTTCCAAGCAGCATGATTATACATAAGGAAGTACTTTTAAACTTAACAGGATAAAGCAGAAAAGTGACATACGCAGTAGCAGCACCAATGGAACAAGTGGCTCGGTGGGCTTTGGCCAACAAGAGCCTGGGGTCATCGTTCACCTGTCAATATACCAAGAACCGCATGAGCAAATCACAAGTTCAATTGGCACGAGCAAAGAAAATCAACCAGCTAAAAGAGAGGAAGAAAACAGAAACCCAACACTTACATCCTCAGTACCTACGGCGGCGGCGGCATGAGCCATGAATTCCTTTGAGAACAAGGCAGGATCGACATTTTCGGCAGCCCATCTGAAAAACCTTCTGCTGTTAGATCTTCGACGACGGACTCTTTCCTTCCCCGACACCAACTAAGCTCAAGGCATTCAAATTACGGGCAACTTCACCAATGAGGAACGGCGTACTTCTTCCCAGCTTACCCAGAGACACCATCGGCAACGCCCAGGACTCCTCCCTTGTAGTTGCTGGTAAAGTACGCGTCCTCCCCTCCTTTCGCTACCTGCTCGGACCACGCGGTGGACAGACGGATAAGCTCACCCGTTACGCACCGGTATCAACCCTCAGATGTCCATAGTTCATAGTCAGTGCAGTAAGACATGAAGTTTCGAGATACTAACCTTTTCGGGATGCGGAATGACCTTTACGCCAGGTGCAAGAGCAAGTTCTTTCCTGATAAACAGCCATTCGACAGATAAGAGTCAGCGCCTGAATTTTGCCCCGAGGACTGTGCATTAAGACATCCCAAGGAGGAGAAGCCAAAGAATTGAATGTACAAGGAAGACATGACCGGAAGACGGACACAGAAGAAGGGCTTGAACCCAAAGGCAGAGCTTTTGGAAACTCCGAAGACAGACATGATCTGCTAAGGCCGGAGAACAGGACAGAGGAGGGGAAGCACCGATCGGCCATTGTCGCCCAAAAAGCGGAGAATTCCAGATCAGTGAAAGTGCAAGGAAGACGAAGAAGTCGACCACGCTGTCAAAATTGGCTACTAATCTAGTGATTGATTTGCTAGTCCGCGTGCACAGAGGATCTAGACAAAATCGTATTGGACAGAATTAGGCTACAGAATTTGTCGCGAATGAGAAGGATCGCAAAATGGTGCTGACATGGAGAGGCAGGAGTAAACGAAGGCTCGAATGCTGGAGCTTCTCGCGCAGGAGTACTAACAGACCAGAGAAGAAATATTGGTACCCACCTTTGCTGGTGCACGACGGTTTGACCGGGAGGGGACAATATAGCTTTGATTGAGGGGCCGGGGGACTGCGGCCTCGAGAGGATGGCCGGACCGGGGGACATCGGCCTCGTGGGAAATTGTGCAGAAGGGAAACGTGCCGGCGACGGAGTAGCTATCCCCAGATTCACCCTCGCTCCACCAATTGGAGACACATTTCCTTGCATCTGCGGAGCTAAAGCCATGTTGCTCTTCTTCTCCTCTGGATAACCTGACCCACCAAAGCACCGACACCGAAAATCTATTAGATGCGCCATCGCGTTATCCCTGGACGGACCCCTGCGGCATTCTCTGCGAAAGAGCCAGGAGGCGAAGCTGTAATGGACAATTGAAGTCACAGGATGATATCTGCAAAAAACTCAGCAGCGAAAAAGGGAGTCAGCTTCCATCTAGACATCAAGATCATCGCTGCTCGTACCTGCCGAACAGCAGGAACTCATAGGAACTCTGGCATTGAAGGAATCTAAAAAGCCCATAACAGAAGAGGCTTCTGAGGCGAGATGAGATGATCAGCAACTAACTGCTCGTGATGGCTGATTTCGAGCTCTGAACAATCCAAAGAGCTGCAGCTCTACTGGTTTGGGGATTATCTAGCTGCTCGTACCTGAGTTACAACAGGAACACATAGGAAACCTGGAGGTAAAAAACTCTAGTTTGCACATCAGAGCGACATCTGCCTGGCAAGACTCGGCAATCCACTCCACTCAAGAGGTCAACAATTTGCTGCTTCGTCGGTTTGGATCTTTTTCTTCGACGCAAAGAGGTTGTGCTTCCATAATGGATGAGGTTCGTCACTCACTCCGTCGCTTTTCGGCTCTCCCTCTCGGCAGACAACAGCAGACCGGGCCACCCAAACCCACCAATCTCACTGCCCACCCTCGTCCACGCTCAGCTCCAGCAACGTCGCACAACAGCGAGACAGGGAGGCATACGACCCGGCTGATGAGGATGGAGAGGGAGCAGTGCACTCAGTTGTGGGCAGGGGACATCGAAAGAGCGAGCGCCTGCCTCCTTTTCCCTCCCTCGGCAGCTGCCATGGATGCTGCGGGCCCCACGGCGCTCGCCACCTCGCGCTGATCTTTTCGGACCCAAACACTCCAATAAAATATCCGTCGCCAATCTCACGCAACGCTGCCACCGATTCCGACCTCTCGCGGCCTCGGCTCGCGATCGCGCCTCCCGCCCGCCATCGCGCCGCAGATGCCAGATCTCCACATGTTCTCTCGACAAGCCCTCACAAGTCCTCGACCCGCACCCGCATCCGGCCTCGGCAAACTTTTCCCCAACGCCCGCGCGAGTGTCGCCCAATGTCCCCCACGGCACCTCGCCTCCACCATATCTGGATCCACTTCCCTCCCCTCCTTTGACCACTGCCTCGCTGTTCTTGACACGGCCCTCGCGACGCGCGGGTCAGCCTTGCCTCCTCTTCCCAGTCGACTCAGCCGGAGGTGCATCCGCCGGGCGGCCATTGTGTCGCAGGCCGATTGGAAAGTTCGAATTTCGAATTTCGACCCTGGCTCCGGCCGACCTCTGTTCGGAAAGTTCGGAAAGTTCGACCTTCTTTCGAGGGACGTGGTGCGATTCGTCCTCGGGCGTTATCGGCTGTCTTGCCGGCCGGCCCCCTCGCATTTTGGATTATCTACGTCGCCATTCGTTCGCCTTTCTCATATGCACATAGCGAGTGTCAGTTTTATTAACATGTTTTCCCCCCTTTCACGATGTGGCACATGCCCGGACAAACATTCTCCTCTCCATCACTCGCCCCTGTAAGTTGGTGTGTGAATTAGACCCACTGGCGGCCCTGTTTCGATGTACGATGCTCCATCTTATCTTCGTGTGCTTCATTGCGTAGTTTTTTTGAGGTGTTATTCCTTTGTAATTTACTCATTCGGATTGGGTTTGAGACAGTCGAAGTACCAACGCTTGAAAGTATGACCCGTGGAGAAGTTCCCAAACTTCACTTGAAATTAAATAATATGTTCGGATCATGCAACCCAAGTGAGTCACAAAATGGTTGAATTTACTGCCTAAAATAGTAAAATATGGCGTTATTTAACAGGAATTCTGTTCGATGGCTCTTCAAGTTTGTTTTCATTCTTAATGTCTTCAATATTCGTCAAAGCGGAGAATCTGCCTACGGAAGGTTTAGACTTACATTCATTGATACATCTGATGATAAATATATTCCAGATATGGCAGGAAAAGAAATACTTCTCTCTGTCTCCACATAGACAGAAGTTAAAGGGAATGCCACCTTCATAATTCAGTAGTTGCTGGTAATCCGTAGCTGGTAGCTGGGTCACCGCAGTGAAGTTTTTTGTTCATTACAAAGACATTTTGTCACGGCATCCTTTACTCATAACCGAAAAGGTACCATTACTTTCAAGCTGGTGCCAAAAATTCAAGAGTAACATTATAGCTTACATTTATCACCCTCATTGAGTGAGAGAACTTCTATCCTTTTGTGCCCTGTCTGCGTCAACTCGGCTGTTGCCTTCCAGTTTCTTCCATCATCTACATCATTACCTCACGGCGTAAAGTGTAACAGCAAACAATATAAAGATCCTTTCAATATATGGATGAAACCAAAAGTGAAACATTGCTTATGTTACATTAGCATCACAACGAAGTGAAATATGTTTATTTCTGCGACTATGCTATATATTTATCAATTTCAAATGGTCAACAAATACCACCAGTAGCCAAATAATGATACTTTAAGGTTATATCTAGTCTGTGAATTGTATCCGTTAGTGCAACTAAAAATAAAATAAAATAAAATAAAGCATTCAATATTTTCTAAGATATTGTACACACTATCTAGTATGCATTTAGAGATTTCGAGATAATTCATATTCACTGAAATAAAGATGTGGATATATGACCCAAGACAAATTTAGAACTAAATCAATGTTAAAGTTAGCTTTTACATGTTTGATAGCCATGATATCCGACTTCCTCAAATGAAGATCTTTTATTATCAAGCTTTGCTGAGCAAGAATACATAAAAGCACTAATAATATGATATAACATAATAATATAATATAAAAAATGTTGGATTATGGTAAGGGTGAATGTAAAGCATATTCAAATTATAAATTCATCAAGACAGATGATAGATATGTAGAAGTGAAGAAAAAAAAGACTAATTAAACTAATGTTGTATTTTTTGGGTTTGTCATACAGTTACATATGAAGCACTTAATATGATAAATTTTAGTGCATATGATAATTAAAATAGAATCATTTACAACCAAAATACTAAAAAAACAAGTTGTCAAGAGTAGACGGAAGAAAAGAGATGTTCTTTGATATATTGAAAATAGTCTCGCTTTGAAATTTGGCGAAGATATATGTCTTTGCTATTAGCTCATCCACTTGTGTAATTTTGTAGTTGACAATCATCAGGAAACTTTGCTCAGTGAAGCATTTAGCAGTAGTTCCTTAGACGAATATTCGCATGTACAGCTTATGAATTTCGCAGATTTTCTATTTTTTCTCCACAATCGAGCTTAACAGCGAGAAGTTCGTCAACTTGCACCCCGTTATCTGACAGCAAGCATGTGGAGATCCAATTCTTCCTCCTTGTTCGGAGCTGAGAGTCCATCGAGGACTGAACATTGTCCATGTTTTCCTTGCAATACTTTGTAATTTGACTGCTGGCTATAGCTATGAACTCTCCTTTCTTAAAATGATTCCATCTTTGCATCTTCTGCGTATCAGTTCGTCATGCTTCTCCTCATTGGACAGGGCTCATGTCCATTGCATAATGTATCTCTCCATCTGTGCGTAGACTTTGGAATGTTCTGCATTTCTCATTGAACCTCCGGATGGGGACCTCCTACATTCGAGGAAACTCGTGTATGATGATGAAGATGACAACCGAATAGATTCGAGGAAATCTTCCCCTCCGCAAACTCAATGATAACGTCATTCTTGTGAGTTGCGCAATAGGTCTGAAATTTGCTGCTCTTTCATATGCAAAACTTCCATGATGGTGTAACATTCTGTACTCTAAACCGTGAGTACTGAATATAATATTGCTGGACTTATAGTACTAACTTTGATGATACGAACCAAAATGATTCATATAATAAGGGTTATGTGGTTATGTTATAGTAAGGGTTAGGTTTAACGCCATCTAATTTTCACAATGTAATAAAGACAGTCGAAACTATATTTCTGCAAAAATATTCCTGTTGTACTCAAATCCATATATCGAGCGAAAATTCTTCCATAACTGTAGTTTCTGTCCAACTTTTAAATCAGAATCCATGATACGTCACTGGTACATACAAATGAATTAAAGACTAGCGTTTAGTCTGAACTGCCTCCCCAAACCTGTTCATCGGTATCAACCCCTTGATTCCTCTAGAAAGACGATATATAACTAGATTAAGCTCAAGAAGGTAACAATACATTGATAGGCATGAGTCTTCTTCCTTTTCCATGTCTACATATGTGCTCGAAATCGCCACTCTTAAGCTATTGAATATCGGAATTCTTTCTTGTTGTGTAGGGAAATCTGTTCCATCTTAATTACTTCCAAAATCCCTGATCATTGTGTGGTAATGCCAAATACTACCTTGCCATGACTTCGACCTACATGCCAGTGTCCATGTATAGTAAAGTCAACGCTTTCTCATGATTTGTTGGCCAACTCGTGATCATGGGTGAGCGCAATGATCTCACAGTGAAGTCTCCGCTGAGATGAAACAATTTTTTCCACTGTTGAAGCGCAGCTTTCATCGTTTGTACTTGCTCGGTTATACGGTAGTTGTTCTATCCGAAAGGATCATGTTCAGAAAGTGCACGGAGATTGTCTCGAAAAGTACTAACAGTATCTTGGAGCACTACCTTCAAAACTTTCAGGGTACCTTCTTCACGATCACAGCAGTGCCATATCACACCATAGCAATATCAATGACATGTTTTGTGTATTGTCACGTGTAGACCCAAACAAAGCAGCTTTTGTTTGTGACAATGAAACGTTTTCCATGTCTTGCTGTCTTACATAAACAGTCTTGCTTTCCTTGTTTCTCATCAGAACACTCCTTACGTCCTCAAATTCTGGCACATCCCCACATGAGCCATTCCTGTCTCACTCTTCAACCTCTTCCTCCTCTTATATCTCCAGGTTGCGGATTTGTCTCAACGCTTGCTTGTTCATCCTTAATCTATTACCTCTGTGTGCTTGCATATAATATACCTTCTCAATTCAGTGTGACCGTCAGAGTTGGACTAGGTCGGTGTCCTTCCTTCCGATGCTGATCTCGTGGCCCCTTGATTCCAGTACGTTGCTTGTCATTGTGATGTCCATCTTGCTTCCTGAATCAAAAGACGTTGGATCTGCTGCTGGGGATGGAAATCAGATGCCGATCTATTCTTAGGCTCTTGTCTTCTAGTACTAAGCAATTGTTTCAGCCTGTTTGCCACTGGTGCTTAGGCCAGGACTGAATGGGAGGGGAAAACAGTAAAAGGACCCTTTGAATGAACACTGCGACGCATCCAGAGAGAAATGATTGACTATTGTGGCATGCATGAAGGCATTGGGAAATTGGGAAACCTTGGGAAATTATTTTCGATCATGACAGGTGGAATATTTTAATGGGAGGGACACGCAAAGTCTGCACCACAGAAATACACTTCTTCCAAGAGATGACTCCACGTTTGGTGGCGATCTCGGAGATCCAATTTGTGGTCCCATTAACTCCTCGTCGCAATCGTTCAACTGGTCTGCTCGGCATGAACAGGGCAATGGACCTCGGAACACGGTCCTGGTACCACTCATGATCCATTGTGATCATTTGAAACTTGCGTTGGCTAGTTAACCAGTCAATCACCACATTTAGCTCATCTAAACACCAGTTTCAACCATATTTCATTTCCCAGGCGAGAGAGGACGTAAATCCCATGTACATTTTATTCTATTGCTGAAGATTGTAGTCAGATATGGACTTTTCACATTCCTTATCTCAAGACTAAATTCAAAATTAGTCCTTCATATAGAATTCACATTTATGTAACTTCCACCTGGTTGAATTTCGCAGATCGTGAAATTCTTTTCGAAATGAGTGCAGGGACACGATTGAAAATTCCCATCAAATATGACTTCTAAATTCGGACTTTTGAATATCAAAGTTAACATCATTGAACAGTTATACTCGTCATTGCATCGATTTTATGTTCTTCTCTATATGTTCTTCGATAATATCATTAGCGTTCGGTCGCATGAAAAAGAATTACCTCCCATTTAGATTTTTACTTATACTTTTTAATACGTTCTGACTTTCGTGACTATAGCGTGGAGTCCAATTTGGTTCTTCAAGGCTGCATG